CTATAATTAAAATTAATGTCCATTCGTTAGAAATCTATCAGTTTTATCACCTTGTGTTTGCACCTTGATTATCTTCCTTTCACTGTATTTATTACTTAATTTCTGGTTTTCTCGACTTTTATGGTGTTATTCGATTATTCTTAGGATTGTATTACAGGAAAACTGTGTTTTGATTGTCATGATAGTACGATAGATCGAAGCAACGATTTATCGCCTATTAAGATTCGTCGGATCGCTCGTATGCATTACCGTTTCGATTGCACTCCGACGATCGAAAACCTCTTCTAACGGATTAATGCCGATTATAGAATGTATTCACGGTCACAGGAAATGATTACTGCGAAATCACTGCAATCGAGCCGTCGTTACATTACGTTAAGAGCAGTCCGGCTGATCGATATTGCGAGAGCCTGGCTGCGAGCAGCGGTTCCGTTCCGCTTGCCTTTTCACACCTCCGCTTATGGTACTACGACAACAATGCCCGCGGTTGATTAACGCGCTCTAACAACCGGCCGCTTTCTCTGAGAACGTTTTCCTCTCTGTGTGCAAATAGGCGAACAAATAGTGACGTCAGACACCGAGACTGAATATCATATCCTCCCACTCGAGCCGACGGAAAATCCTTTATTCCTCTCTCAGCAGGGAAAATTGCTTCGATGATCCCTCTCGACCAGCAATTCCGATCTACAATTATTGCCCCATTTTCCGATCAATATCCACGTACTTAGAAACACTTATTAAATCAAACAACAGACAAACATTTCGTCGAAACGATATTGTTCCTTTTATCTTCTCGTTTGTCGTTAAAAGTTCTAACTTCAAGAAATTCTAACATTCAATTGACCTTTTAACCTTCTAAATCAAGAAACAGAAATATATCACACTAAAATATTATTTCTTCACATTATCTAGTGCAAAGTTTGACCTCCCAAATTTTTCCCAAGCTTCCCACTCAATCTTTTAAGAATACTTAATCTAATGTTACGACTCAAGCAATTCTAATATTCAATTGACCTTTGAATCTTAAAAATCAGGAAACAGAAATATATCTCACTAAAACAATATTATTTCTTCAGATTATCCAGTGCAAAGCTCGAACTTCCAAACCTGTCCCAAGCTTCCCAGTCGATGTTTCAGAAACACTTAATCCAAAGTTACGACTCACTCTTTCAAGTTCGAGAGGCGTCTATCGATTGACTCGCGCGCCGAAGCGAGGGTAAGTTAGGGTTCCAATGCTACCGTAAGCTTATCGATTCCGAAACGAGACACGGCTGGATTACGTCCGAGCCGCGCAAACATCAGGCTGCCGGGTACATACATCCGCGACGAAGTTCCCGCAAAAATTTCATCGGCCACGGTCGCGGCGTAACGCGCAGGCAACGCAGCTTCTGTCTACTTTCTTCCGCCTTTTCCTTTTCCATCGGAACGAATCGCCTGTTTCCCTCGGAATTACAAACCGGCGACAGTTAAACGACGCCGGCGAAAATTTAGCCGACCATAAACGTTCCGGGCCCTGATTTACGTTCCGGCCGCGCGTCGAATTCCCGCTTCCCGGACGCTTTGTGGACGTCACGTTTACGGTCGCCTTTGAACTATTAAACCGCATTGCACCTGACACGTCCGCGTGGGCGGTGTCACGCTTCCGACCTACGACGACTGACGAAATCCAGCTGCGTTGGCTGCCCTAGGAACCGCAGCTGCTCGTGTTGCTTCGTTCGGCACCGGAAAGGGCAGCGCCGCACAGTGCAGCTGAACGGCCCTTTTCCGAAGGAAATTTGATAGCTTAAAAAATATGAGTGATAGGAAGAAATGATTCAGACAAAAGTTGTAAGGTATGGAGCTAAAGATATGGTGGATATATTTTTGTTTATATTATGGCGAACTTGTGTGTTTTCGATGACAATGGACACTGCTTTTTGATTTCAACGTTGTATAGAGAAACGGAAGTTATATGTATAGAACTGTTATTTTTCAAATGAAAATCATTCATAGCAACACATTAACCTTCAATTTTCATTGTTTGAATAGTCGAATTTTGGGGTTCCGTCCACAGTGCTGTGCAACTCTTGAAAAGGTCGCTTGAAGGGAGAATAACTCGGAAAACGATTGTAGTGAACATTTTACCTATTACTGTATATGATTGATGATTGAATGATGATTGAAGGATGATTCTGTATACTCTAACGCATTATTACTAACATTTATCGTGCATTAAGATTATCATCAGCCTCACAAATCGAATTCGATCCCTTGAAACCGTTCAAAGTCCCAGAAAAAGAAATGTAACCCTTCCAATTGAATAAAGACTTCTAACTTTCCTAATTTCTTGCTATATCGCGCCACTTCTCCATTATCACGGGTTACACAATCGTCCTCAATCTTCCCGAAGTTCTTCCGGTCCAAGTTAAGTAACCAAACACCTGGAAAATGCACTTCAGCAGACCAATCGCGAAACGATCTCTGAACAAGTGCCATTACGCGTCACCAGCCAGCTCTCCTAATTCATCGACACGGTTCGATTTCTTTCCAAGAAGATTACAGAATAATTCCTCGGAGTCGAGAAATGCCGCAGTCGGCGGGCCACGATCGACTAATGGCTCGTTCGCAATCGACGTTCGCCGTTCGGAGACGGCGGGAGAAAGGAACGCGGAACGCGATCGAGTGTCGGCGTTCCAGTTCGCGTCCGAGTGTTTCGCTCGCAGACGACGCAGGAAAAAATACACGTTCAGCCGAGCGGGGGCCGAGACGCGTATCGCTCGCTCGCTGGCGACGCACGCGATATCACGTGTCCGTTTCTCAGGTTCAATGACGACGACCGCCCGGCACGATTAGTCGAGGCCGAGCCATTCGCGAGCTGAACCGAGAAACGATCGTTTCCTTTCTGCCGACAGGTGCGAATCCGCTCCACGTTACGCCGCTTCCAGCCGGTACCTGCTCCTACTGCTGCCCCATCAACGTGGACACTGACATCGAGTATCACCTGTACACCAGGTACGCCGCGCTATCGATCGCGTCGACTCTGTCATCGGAAATAATGGAACGAAAGCGTGCGATTTTTGTTTGGTAACAGGTAGACCGTGAAACGATCGCGCAAATAGACGTTTTCATGTGTCGGAGGGTTCAATGGGGATTATTATCGATGTTTCACTTGGGTTTTCGATGATTATTTATCTATGATTAACACGTTCAGTGCCACGTGTACCACATGTGGTCATTATAACTTGAAAGTTACAAAATACATTCGTTTGATGAAATTATTGAAACTATTGAATACATTCTTAATTCGTATTCATATGTGGATATTTATTAATTTTGTACTGCACAGATTTTGTTATAATCATGAACAAACATTCGGCCCATAGAGGGTTAAAATATTTAATAGTACAAATGGTGCCATATTAGAACCTACAGAGTGGTTAAGTTAGTTTCTGGTATTATCGGATTATGAAGTTTAACTGGTTTCTTAGAGGTTTTTCTATCTGCTTTCACGGTAGACGGAACCCAAGTTCTGGAACCAAACTGGACATTGCGGACCAATCGACGTTATGGAACAGTTACTTCAATGATCGGCACCCGACCGTCATCTACATCCATGGATACAGCGAGAGCACGACCACTGGGAGCTCCATCGCGATCAAAGACGGTACTTTCACTCTTTCACAGTTGTCTTCGCGCGTTGACGCTTCGTTAACGAAATTATCAGCTTCGTCAATTATTGAAACGATTTGGTAATGCTTCAATGTTTACGAAGTCTAAGATATAAATGTTCTGAGTTGAGCGTTGTCTGGCGGAATTCCCGCGACGCGATTTGTGAACGCACTCGAACTGTTGGACAGAAATTGATGGAACTAGGCTGGGCACATTAGCAGCTACAAGAATCACCAAGCCACTCTAAGACTCTGACAGTATGACGAATCGCGCGACTCTCGGAAACTTCTCTCCGACGTTGGGAACTTCAGCATTCATAGGGGATCCATACTGGGGATCGTTGCTGGGTGACAGACACGCCCCCCCCCCCATTTCAATTCGGAACTCGCCCATGCGGACGAAAGTTTCCGCGGCGTGACAGGCGCCGATCAATTTGTAATAACTCGAAGAGTATCATTTATGTAGAACGATCAACCACTTTGTATCAATCGTTGCTTAAACATTCAAGTCGCTTTTGATTAACAGGAACAGAATGTTCTAACCCTTTGCACTCGAGAGATGACTCTCAATCACCACATGATTCGACGTAACAAAACTATGAAGTTGGATATTTAATATTTCAGATTAAATGTTGCATTGCTACGTGAAATAGTTCAATAAAACTCCTCTGTTGCTTAATTTATCTATGAATTATCGTTAAATTAGTTTCAAACAGTATCACCTATATCTCGTCAGAAAATGTTGAATATTTCCATTGAAACACTTTCGAGTGCAGAGGGTCAAAAGTGGTAGCCTTTTTAGATAAAATTGTAGTTCGGATATAATGAAAGATAGAAATTATATAATAAAGACGGGTTGTAAATTATCATATTAAATTCTACTCTAAATTTTCCAACAGTGTGTTGAAATTTCAAAGTTGTCAGAAGAATGATAATGCTAGTGTAAAGGGAACTCGGAAATGATGGTAATAAAAGGATCGGTGTAGAAACGATAAACTTTCGGGTTACTGCGTTAAATGGAAATAATATCCAAGCGTCTATAAATTTAGGGGGGACTTCGTTGCAAGGTGAAATCATGAAACCTTCAGCAACGGTTCTCAGCAAACACTCGGGCGAGGATTGATGCAGAAAGGGGACCGCGTCGGCAAGAAACTTTTTCCGTCGAACGAAAACAGAAGAAACTTCGTCCAATCAATCGTTCGATCTCGCTCACCAACGAACCGGACTTTTTTTCGCAGTTTATCTCAAACGAGGGGAGTATAACGTGATCCTGGTGAACTGGGCGAAGTTGGGGAGCCTGCCATGGTACGTGACAGCAGTTCGGAACACTAAGATCGTTGGACCTCAAGTTGCTCGATTGGTGAACTGGTTGGACAGTATGGGGGCGATTTCTATACCAACCTTGCACGTGATCGGATTCAGCCTTGGCGCAGAGATCGCTGGGTTTATGGGGAAAGCCCTGTCACCGCGAAAAGTAAATCTTGAGAAGTATTAAGGTGTTGAGTTGAGAGAGGCTAAGCTTTGATTTTACCAAATGTAAATTTTGAGAAGTGTTAAATTTGTAACTTAAGAGATATTAAGCTTTGATATTAGGAAAAGGAAATTTTGAGAGGTACTAAGAAGTAACTTGAGAAAGACCAATCTTTGATATTACAGGAAGTGAATTTTGAGAAGTGTTAGATTAGTAACTTGAGAAATATTAAGCTTTGATGCTAGAAAATGTAAATTTTGAGAAGTATTAAATTAGTAGCATGAGAAAGACCAATCTTTGATATTACAGGAAGTGAATTTTGAGGAGTATTAAATTAATAACTTAAGAAATATTAAGCTTTGATGCTAGAAAATGTAAATTTTGAGAAGTATTAAATTAGTAACATGAGAAAGACCAATCTTTGATATTACAGGAAGTGAATTTTGAGAAGTGTTAGATTAGTAACTTGAGAAATATTAAGCTTTGATGCTAGAAAATGTAAATTTTGAGAAGTATTAAATTAGTAACTTGAAAAAGATCAAGCTTTGATCTTACAGAAAGTAAATTTTGAGGAGTATTAAATTAGTAACTTAAGAAATATTAAGCTTTGATGCTAAAAAATGTACATTTTGACAAGTTTTAAATTAATAACTTGAGAAAGACCAAGCTTTTATCTTTAAAAAAGTAAATTTTGAGAAGTATTAAATTAGTAACTTGAGAAATATAAAGCTTTGATCCTAAAAAATGTAAATTTTGAGTATTAAATTAGTAACTTGAGAAATATTAAGCATCTATAAGTGAATCTTTCGAAAAACAATATTTTCGCCAAAGTAAGGACGATCCTTCAGTGTCAATCCTAAAGGCGATATTAATTTCTAATATAATCTTTCTATCAAGACATGAAACTTCTTCCAACTAATCAAATATTTGTAATATCCAGTAATTAGTGAGTTCTGTTCTATTCTCAGTAGAAAGGGTTTATTCCAGGTCGGTCGCATCACAGGTTTAGACGCAGCCTATCCTCTATACATGAACGCTGGCCGAGAAGGACACCTAACAGCAGCTGACGCTATGTTTGTGGACGTGATCCACACAGACGGTGGGAACTTTGGGTTTCCCAATCCTCTAGGTCACGTGGACTTCTATCCAAACGGTGGTAAACCGATTCAACCTGGATGCAATCTGGGCAGCGTGATCCGTAGGACCATATCACGATTGATCAATGAGTACAGTATGGTCCTTGGCGTGCTTAACCTTGGACCTCTTGAGGTTTAGCTTCTTTGAACTCATTAGATAAAAAATCTAAACCCAGAATCATCTTGTTAAAACCAAAGATTCTCAAAAATCTATATATTGCTATCTAAAACGAACAATTTTTCGTGGGTTCCTCTAATCTATATCTCAAGAGATCGAAAGTTAATATTCCTCTGTCTATCTATCAAATACTAAATGATTGTTTTCTGATTGTCTAGTCGTCTGTGGACACAATCGAGCATGGATGTTATACGTAGAATCAGTGATGAATCCATTCGGTTTCCCGGCCAGCGTGTGTCCAAAATGGCATCCCAACATCCGAGCAAATTGCGCCTGGACCCCAGACGTCCTGATGGGATTCGCTGTCAACGTGAAAGTCAGGGGCAAGTTCTACTTGAGAACCAACCCTGAATCACCTTTCGCCAGGAATACCACCGGATACATATTTAAGTGACTCCCAGGGGATCGAGTTTGGATGAACCAGACGCGCAGCATCGAAGTCACTAGCAATTTTTACAGTGCACTCCTCTCTATTCGGGGGAGTTTAGCTTCCTCCCTACGGGAAATAATGGAAACAATGGTGCAAAGTTTGTTCCTTCAGTATTATTTTGTTATATACACATTAACCCTTTATAGGGCAAATTATTTTTCTGATGATTCGTATTCCCTACCGTATACATATTATAAGTACTTTAAAAAACAATTATGATTGAGAATTTCTTTTCGAAATTTCCCTAGATTCCTTGTTTTATGGTGGCACAAACAGGTGCCAGCACAAATAGGTAACACCTATTTGTGCCACCAACCGTTCCTGCAACACCATAAGGATCAAAATGGTGAAGTCCTTGTAATTTGATCCGTAAAAGTGGCATCTATATGCCACCAACCTATAAAGGGTTAAGTAATCCTCGTAACACCATAAGTTCGTAAAACGGTAACACCGAAGATATCTTCCTATATTCCTATAAAACATTTACGATTCGAACAGTAACGTCGAATCAACAAAAGAATACCGTGCAAGTGAACAGGAACATACAACAGAAAATCCAAAGACAATTATAAAACCCAATTACATCTCGCAAACCCAAATCGACCAATCACCATCTTAGAGCAAGAGAACCCAGCATCCTAAATTGTTTGTTCCAAACGGGCGATTACTCGGGGCGGAAATACAAATTCCTCGGAAAGCCGACGAATAATTGCCGGGGCGCAGCGTCGGAATTTATTGTTCCCGCGAACGTTCGCCGGTTCATAAACGAGATAACACGCGAGCCGTTCCGTTTTAGCGCGATGATAAATCCCCGGTAAACAGCCGACGGTAAAAAGCCGTATTTATTGCGAAGGAAAGATTTACAGATCCGTCGCTGATAGCTCGCGGCGCGGACGCGCCGGAGAACGATGTGCAATTTTCGTGCGGCTTCCGATGCACCTTGGCCGCCCTCGAAAATATGGAAATTCCAAGGACAAGTGCTTCCTTGTGGCCCCCTTCGCCGGTCGATCGATAATGGCCGCC